ATGAAAGAGGCTTTCTCCCTGCCTCTGCAAAGATCATGTACTCACTTGATACGGGTTGTGGTAGGAAGGTACCTCTTCAGCTGCATGGTAGCGATAACTTGATTGTGTCTCAAAGAGCAGGGAAGGGAAAACTTGGCCTGTATGTGACGAAGTGATGGACTGGCCTCATTTCTGAGGAAGGATTTCTTGGAACTAGAAAGATTATGAACCGTATTAATGGATGAGATTGGAAGGGCTGCAAAGGCTCAATGCCCTTCAGGATGGCTGATGCAGGGAAAGGGAAGAGTTTAAGGAAGGGAGAGGCTACGGGAAACTTGGTCGTAGCATTGACGTTCCACCTGGTTTAGTATTAAAATGCTCTAAGCACTCCCTAAATCTGGTATAGTTCGTGACAGGTTTTTCCCATTTGAGTAGTATTTTTGTTGACTGATAATTGTAACTTCAGCACGGAGAGGGATTCACAAGAGGAAGATGGAAAATGAATAGTCCTTCTGTGGATGTCGTTTGTTCCGTACTGTACAGGAGCTGATTGTTTGACTAGATGTATGCTTCCATGAGAAACTTTGTGTCACATCTGAAATCTACGGGGCTTTCCAGACATTTTCCTGGTGGAACAGCTGCCTCAGAGCTACAGACTCCAAAGTAGAAAGGGTTTCTATGCAAAGCTGACAATGAGGCTCAGCATTCCACCAAAAATATCTCTTTACTTGACTTCCTATCTGTTCCACCCACCCTTCCGGCAATTTCCTGACACTGGGTATAACAACCTGTTGTGGCCCCTCAAGACATGTTTTTTCTTGCTGAAATGTGCATTTAGCAGTTTTGGACAGACCCTATTGAGGGTCTGCTCCTCCAGATGACCCAGGCTGCTCCCATCTATTGGATGCTCAGCAACCACTTAGGTTGGTATTAGCTGCTGCATCACCCTTTTTTCTGCCCTCATCGTCATGCTCAGCCGATGGGACAAGAACGTGATGAGGCACAGAGATTTGGAGACTCCTACAGAAGTTGTTTCTCAAGATCTTTTTCCTGTTTCTACATGAATATATATGTGCCCCTTCTGTAATTACAGACCTGTGCTGTATGGCTTTCTTGTATCTCCATTTCAGGAGAATAAACAGATGCGTCTCATACTTTGGAAAATGTTCTTCTAGGGAGATCTCATTCCTCATGGGAGCCTGAAGCAGGCTGGTGGCTGTTTTGTTTTGCCAGTGGAAGTCTCCATCTTCAAAGACTGCAGACTTTCTGATTTTGAACCTAAAACCAGATGCTGTCGTGTTACGTGCAGCTAGTGGACCCTTCCTTGGAGGTGTACCTCCTTCAATTCTGACCATCAGGAGTGTACCATCTTCAAAGGTCTTGACTCCCTAGCAGCAGAGCCATGCATGAAGAGCAGACTAAAACCTTGTGAACAGGCTTCAGAGTGGCTCTGCTCAACCTTGGCTTGCCCTTCATGGAGCAAAGACAGAATTACAAAACCACAAAGTCTCGTGAAAGCTGTGTCCAAGCCAGGGGAAGACAGCATGTGACAGCCCCAGGTTTCTGCTCAGCGCTCCCATCACCCAGCGGCACCGCAGTTTGCATTCAGTTTTTCACACATGTGAATGTACAACGTGACCTCCGTGTGCCCTTGGACAGTCCCCATTGTTTCCTTTGTCCTCTGCGGCTGAGCCAGCATTGGTTTTGTTCACTAGGTGACGAACTTCAAATTTTCTTTGCCTGACTGGGCTAGAATAAGTGTGCAAATGCTGTTCTCACAGAACTGATGGGGAAATCATGGCTGAAACTCATGCTTACCTTATTGGGTGACGATGTGATGTGATGTGGCAACTCAGGTCTTTTTGTGGTGCCAGAAGGGCTGTTTTGAAAGCTGACTGGTGCTGCTCGTCCATTCACCAAATGACTCCTGACTGTCATGTTCAGGCTGAAAGTAGCCCACAAATCTTCCCAGGAAGAATGAGAACATGATTGCTAAAAAGAAAGAAACAACGCCAAACCCAAACCAAAACACCGCGTTAAATCTGTATCGGGTTATAATGGAAAAGAGTATCCAAATGCTTCTGGTTTTTGCAGTTAGCTTGGGTGTCTGTACAGCGTTGCTGCTCCAGGGGTTTCTCAACACACGTACTGTGCCATGGGAACGCTTTGGAGTCACCCCCATAAGGTCTGAGCTCAGGTCTTCATGGGCAATAGACCCTCAAGGAACCAGGCTTGCAGATGGGCAGGAGGCAGAGTGTGGGACCAGCTGATGGCTGGAAGGGGCAATGTTGCATCCAGATCTGTAGGTCCACCTCGGACATAGTTCTTCTTCCAGGTGACCATTACAGAAGTAACCAAACAACACTTAGGCTGGGGCAGTGATGTTCCTGTGATGTTGTGCATGTGCTCTTCAGCCCTGAGAAAGCTCCCCAGCCTCCTGCCTCTGCTCATGGACTTTCATGGTCCTGTGGACCGAAGCTCTGGGTATCTGCATCCTTCATTTGAGTCATTCGGTTTACGTTAGGCCATCTGTCTGGCATGAATGGGTGGCTTCTCTGGTTGTTTGGATAAGAGAAGACTTTGGGGAAGACTTTTGGAGTTTGGCACCTAGCATCCATTCTTTTTGTTTTGCACAGGATAAAACACTTTCTTGCAGAATTAAGTAAGGACCAGGTGGAGACACCCTCTCATATCAGAGCCATCTGAAATGATGGTATTGTCTTCCCTCCTTCCCCAAAAACAGACAAAATAGTCAGGTTTAAAAAATATAAATAAATAAAATCCACCAGACTGTTACTCAGTGAGTCTAATATGACCCCACTGACTGCCTGCTGGTCTGTTGAAGCGTTTGGAAATGAAATGCTGTCACACATCCAGCCTGATTTTACTTAGTGGTTAAGCAAGCTACTTAGGCTTAGAATTTCTAACAAGCTTGAGTGCTCTCTAGGACCTGTGAGAAACAACTTCATCTTTGTGTCTGCAAGACGAGGGATTAAGTGGTGGCAAAAAAGAGACTTTCAGATCTGTCCTGTCCTCTTGGTGCTCTGGGGTGAGAGCTGGCTGGATACGATTTTGTTTTGCTTTTTTCCTGGCTCAATTGCCTTCACTGGGAGGGGCCAGGAGGAGTTTGGATTCCAGCTTTGTGACCTGTTTGCATGCCTAGAGCTTTCCTCTGGGACGAATCACCGGTGTTCCTGCAAAAAATAGCCTTATGGTCACGCAGACCTTGATGCATGAGAACTTACAAACTAATGAGATTATGGAATTTTTTAATGCTTCCCATTTTTCAGACAAATGAAATTTAAGAGGCAGTGGTTACTAAGGAGAAAACACATTGTCATTCGTCTGTGCGGTCAGTTGTATCTGGATCTGAACAACCACTTAAAACCAGGCCAGCTAACCATTCAAACTGCAAAGCGTCCCTTGCTCTATGACACCGTTCCAGCCCAAGCAACAGGATGACCTGGAAAGGGAGTTCCTAAGCAGAGTTTGGTGACTGTAGAGAACTTGAAACTCTTAATTTAGCAAGGAATCCACCCACGTGTGAAGCTTAAAAATGAGACGTTCACACCTAACCTAGTCACCCCACCCGGGTGACCTTTTTATAGTCCATGCTGAGATGCTCGAGGTATTTCTTCCCATGAAGTATAAAGTAGGGTTAGGCTTCTACGTCCAGCTTCCCATCATCTCAACACAAGGAGAATGAATCTCACCTATTGTTCGTAGCAATCAGGGTAGAGGTTCAGGATGTCTTAAAGTATGCCACCAGCAGATAGCCTCAGTTCAACTTTTCCTGGAAACAATGCAAAGACTCTAGTTATGTCTCCTTTAGTAAATAAATCAGGTCTAGCCCCACAGCCGAGTGGTTATTGCATAACCTATACATAGCTAATTTCTCCTCACCTCCGAAAACAGCATAACTATGTGCAAGCTACTTGTTTCAAATGGTCCCTGGATCATATCTGAGAATTATCTGGGAGAGGTGCCAGCTGGCACACATCAAAACTGTGCCAAAGTCTCTGCCACCAACTTAGCAATGTAAATCTTTGCAGCATAATGCCATATCCTCGTTTGCTTACTATTGTGAACGTAGCCTTTGAGTATGCCCTGCGGCCAGGCTAAGGATAAATGTGGACAGACCATATTCAGTCCCTTGAGTTTGCTGTTTTGCTTCAGAAAGTTAAAAGAATCTCAGTGTTTTGTATTTTTATCACCATTAGTAATATCTTCACCTCCTGGCCTTTTTCCAGAGCAGTCTTATGACATGCTATTAGCTGGCTCTGTTCGTTTCCTCTGACACATTTCTTTTGGGAGGTGAGGCTGGGAAGGAGGAAGCTACTGGAGTTTGCTCACATGGGTTTGCTGCTTTTTTTTTTTTTTTTTTTTTTTTTAAATGCTGCTCACTTCCACTTTAGGCAAGCTTTCCTTGTTGACGTAGCAGTTGTGACATATAACCAGCAGTGCAGTGTCCTGCTCGGAAAGGAGTGACACCAGACCTCTGTTCCTCTGGCGGGTTGGATGTTTGAACATGGCTGGCACGGCTCTGCAGCTCCGTACAGTAGCTTTTAATGCCAAAAGGTGTCGACTGAGGCACCCGGGCAGAGAACTGGTGAGAGATATGGGAAGAGATGCTGTGCTTCATCCTTTGCTGCCTTGTACTGTAGGCATTTTCTTCTGGGAGAAAGAACGGCACTAAGCAGGATTAACACCTATCAAGAAGTTTAGGGCTTTTCCAGTCATGCGGAAGCGGTATCATGGCCCACCTGAGATGATCTTCAATTTGGGGCATCAGGAAAATGGGCTGTAGCCTCAGTGGTCTTCCGTGACACCAGCTCATGTTGAGCTATTGGTTTTCTCTTTCCTCTTCTAACATTTTCAAATGTGTTTTGGGGACAGCAAGTACACGTGTGTGTGCTGCCAAGAGCAGGAAAGGCTGATTGTTTGCAGTGAGCACTGAAGCCTTGGTAGATGGATACTCTCTCAAGGGAGTTTATGTGTGCCTTCTGTGTTGTGTCCAGGACATGTGCACGGCTGAAGCAACTACATCTCTGCTCCAAGTGGAGGAAACCTTCTCAGCATGCCTGGCACGGATAGATGCCTTCATCCTCAAGCCTCTGCTCCAGGCAGGTAGGTCAAATAAGACTACTTTTTTGTCTGTAGTTCTAGCCTTGAGTCACTGGCACACCTGTGAAGGGATTTATAATTGAAATTCCATGGCTGAGGACTTGCTGGAGGCTGGTTTGCTGGAGTAAGTGGTATGTAGAGATGTTTCATTTAAGATAATGAGCTCTTAAGGATGCCTATGGCCTTTCATTCAAGCCTAGGACTGTGGTTCCTGTTGTTTTTAGAGGTTAATTCAGATTCTAACCAGTATCAGCCTGTATACCCGCTCCGAGCCTTGTTTCCAGCATAGCGCATGGAAATCCAAAATGTATCTCACACGTACGTGACCCCTAAACCGTGCCCGTTCTGCCTCCCTGCTCTCGGTCCATGGTCATGCCCGCTTTTGAAGGTAAAACTTGTGGGTACAGGTTCTGAGCTGGCAGTAAATCAGAGCAGCTCCACTGAAATAACAAATCCATATAAATATTCACAAGCCTGTCTGGCCAAAAGTGGTGTGACTGGATTAGGCCCATAGGGTGGTTCCCTCTCATGTCACTGCCTTTTTGGTCTAGCCTCTAAAGAGACTGGGAAGAGCCCTTTGGGGCAGCGGCAGAAAATTTTCCTCTGATGCTCGTGTCTGAGCTGGGGCTGAGCCTCAGAGGCTGCCCTGACCGCAAGAACGGGAAGGAGAAAGCCTTAGCATGGATAGCCCATGCAATTACTCACAGGGAGACAACCCTAAATAATCATCATCTCCTTCCTCCCTGGCTTTGTTTTCCTATAAAAAAATATGTGCTTTACACTGTGAAAAATTAGGCTGAGTATTAGATATAGGCAATGTTTTCCACAAGATTTCTTGGAGTCAAGGTTTTCTGATAGCCTTTTTCCCCCATTTTTTTCCTCAAAGAGCCTAGTGACCAGAAGGGAAAGGAGAACTTCAAGCTCTTCCTGCTCCTGAATGATCGATTTCAAGCTCTCTGGAACCTCACAGAAGAAAATTACCGGATACTGAAACAAAAATGCAGCACCTCTGAGTCATTCTGCATCCAGGACATTTACACTGTCTGGAAAGGAGACCTCTTCCTAAGCCTCTATATCCAGTAAGTACAGATGCATTTTGGAGTAGCATAGAGGACCAAATTTATCAACTAACTGGTAAGTTGGTGCAATTAATTTCTACATTTAATTTGTTCAGTGCTGTCTACTAGTGTTGAGTTGTTAGGTCAGGGAAGTGATTGCCTTCAGTGCTCGCAAAAAGTGCTACGGAATATAGCGTCTGTGCAGACAGCATAACAAGTAGCCTTTTCTGTAGCTGTGGTATGCTTGTAAGAGGCATAATATTTTTCTGGCAAGTATAGAATTTTTTAATGCATCTTAAAATGGGAAGAGGAGAGGGGGTAGAATTTGTGCCTGGGTAATTTATGAAAGCAAAGCTTGAGCTGTCATCAGGAACAGATGCACAAGCAGGTTTAAAGGACGAGGAGAGAAGATGTCACTAGACACGGTTTATATTGTGTGTTGTGCCACATTTTTATGCTTTTCGCAAGCGATATGATAGCAAGTGATGGATGTAGCATGACGTGAAAAACATACTGCCCCATTGCTGTTTCTATAATTAATTACATCTGCTCCCCATCTATCTGCAATGCAAAATAAAATGTTTACCAAAAGCACTGTAGCATGTGTAACCTGTGTGTTGATGTCCTAGCATGAAAAATAGTTTATGGATGTCTGAGATGACATAAATATCAGACTGTTCAATCCTTCATTCATCCACTGGCCATAAAAATGGCCAAGGCTTTGCCAGATGGGCTCGTACCATCTGTGCAGTTTGGCACCCACACAGGAACGGGAGATGGGCATGCTGGCTCCTGGACACTGCTGCTTATTTAGTCTTGGTTTTGGTGGGTTTTATGCATGTGGAGGAAGGAGGAAGGAAGGACTGCTTTTCGTTTTGTTTTAACTTTGACAGCATAATTTTAGAAAGTGATGCACTACAAGCTTTGCGTTTATGTGGATGGGGTTTGGAGCAGTGTGTGTTGTTCTTTTGGGAACTGATTCGGTGAATTAAAACTGGTTTGCCTTAAGAAGGCATATAAAAGATAAAAGCTTGTGCTGAGGTTTCAGATGACACAAAGGAGGAGTTTATCTGAAGATCTAATTTCCCCTTTGTTTTGAAATTAAAACCTGTTTTTGTTGGGCGTTATGAAAAAAAAAAAGAGTGGATTCCTACCTACCTCTGCTGCCTCACTGCAACATCTCATGCTTATTGGAGTGATACAGGAGGAAGCAAAGCCGCCGTTCAGGGGCCTGAAAAGGAGCAGCAAATACATGTCCCTGAAAGATCTAATAAGTGATAATTAGTCTGGACACTATACACTACTGGAAGAAAGCATGGTATTTGCTGACAAAATATGGCTTGATCTCCCTCTAGTGTGAGATGAGATACATTAGGGTGGGACACCTTGACTTGAATTCACCGTCAGTAATACACACCTGATACTTTTACTTCAACCAGCAGAAATTCATACATCCGAAGCTGATATCTTAAGTTCAGCCTTTGTAGATTTGGTTTCCAGGACAGCTGCGTGAGTTGACTTCTGCTTATGCTAATTGCCAGGATGATTTAAACTTCCTGTAACGATACCAGTGCAAAAGTCAACAAGGCAGTTAAACAAGGAGCTGGCAAAAGCGACAAAAGGGGAGCGAGCCAAGGTGAGAAGTACAGTAGCTACATCTCTCCCTGCCTCCCTCGGAAAGGTGGACCTGACATGACATTTTCAAATTAGCTTCTTCCCTTTGTCGCTTAAACGTCGTAGCTAACGTGCACCTCTATCTCAGCTCATGCTTGTGTGTGTTTTGTTTTTCTTGCCAACAGATATTTCGTCACTTTTGCAAACTACGTTGTAGTCCACGGCTTCGAACATGCCACAAAGAGCAAAAGGTCAGTGGGCTGAAAAATGCTTATTGAAGGGGCTGACAGGAACACAATGATATTGCATGGGTTATGACAATAAACCGGAGTGAGCAGCGCTGAGCACTGCACTGCACCTCGCAGTGATCTCTGTTTCACAGCCCAGCTGCCTCTCCTCTGAACTGGCCGTACTGGCTGCTCCTGCCGTCTTCTGAGACCACACCAGCAGCTCTTGGAAGCTTTCCTCTACAGATCTCTCTCCATCTCTTTCTAGCCATGCACAACTACTTTTGTAGGAGAGGAAGCCTGTAAATTCGAAATTTGGGGATTCAGGTAAGGGGTGGGACCTGAGAAGGGATGATGTGGGAATCTGGTAGGAAATTTCCACTGCTTGTCCCAGATGTTGTCAGAGTCTCATGGAAACAGCAAATGAAAACATGAGCACCAGATATGAGCAGAGTCACAGCCGCTTTATCCGAGTCACCCTCTTGGTGTGCAAACCGTCATGAAAGTCATGCTCTATTCTGTATATCTGTGGGTATGGTTCCTATTTGCAAGGACGGCTGAGCCAGAGGCAGGATGGATGGAGCTCTTGTTTGCCTCATTGCCTTATTTCTGTGTGTTTGGTGTGCAAATGTATTTGCACTATGTTATCTCCTGCTCTTTCAAGTCTTTCTACACCTTCTCTGGGAGTGAGGTAGCATATAAAGCTTGGAAGGCAGAGGAGAGGCAATTTGCAGAAGAACTAATTATTGAACCTTTGTCTTAATTCACCATCTTGCAGTGAAGCCTGGAAGCACCATAAGACAGTGCTGAAACAATTCCTCGCAGACTTCACCTCTGAGACCTCCATGACACTGGCCTTATACACTGTTCTTCACAAACCTATCCGAGATCATATCGAGCAATATATACTGCTCCTTACCAAGCTGAATGAGGTTCTCAAAGAGGTAGGAAGCTTTATGTGATGTTACTTGACTGGCTTATGCTAACACCTTATGCAGGGCTTGTGGGGCTTTGTGGTGGTGCCACTGAATTCAAAGTAGGCTGGAAGGAAAATGAATTCCAGTGAACAGCTGGGGTGGTAGTAACCAGCACCAGTGGGCTGCAGCCCACCTGAAGGTCTCAAAGCAATGAACAGTGGCCGCTCCAGCATAGTATGAGTTACTCGTCACACAGAGAACTTGGAAAGGGTCAAGTAACTGGCCTAAGATTGCACGCTTCTGCTGGTGGCAGAGATAATGCTAGATTTGGGAAGCTTTCCTTGCAAAGGGCGTTGGAAGATTGACTCTCATTAGCCCTTTGGATTCAGAGCTGCTGAGGTTTTTCTGCAGCTGTAGCCCAGAGAGCAGATGTTCTGCACAGCCATACCTGAAGTGTTGTTCAAGCCCTGCCTTCTTTTATCAGGGATCTGAAAAGGACATGGTTACCAGTGCCATCAATGAATATGTGAAGCTGGAGTCTTTCATCAGCCAAGTCCTGGATGAAGCTTGTTTTACCAAGTCCTTATGGAAATCCTTGGGTTACAAATTCACGGTGAGTCATCGATGTAGAAGGTGGGTTGATGGGGAGCTGTTTTGGAGATCTTACACTTCTACTTACCCATAGAGGAAATTTAATACAGGTCAAGAATTGGAGGCTTGGCTTGAAACCAACAGTGCAAGGCAGTATGGAAACCTTGGAGAAACCTTATGGTCACTGGGCACTTTAAAAGTTGAGTGCTGTGTCCACTTCTGCTGTCACTGTCAGCTTGTGCCACAAGTCAGATGGCCTCTGCAGGAACTGTTGGTTTAAGCTGTGTGTCCTCTCCCAAATCCTGATGTTTCCTGATATTTTTCATCCTCCATCTTGACTTCTGTGGTTCCCTCTTCAGGACATGCTCTGTGTACCTGAAAGGAGGCTGCTGGAAGATAGCAAAAATCTTCCCATCTCTACCAGCACGAATCGATCAGAGCGGATCTTGCTCTTCGATGATGTCCTTGTGTTAATTCAGGTGAGACTGCAGTCTTTCAGAGGGATTGGAAGGGCAGCGGAGATAAATGACAGTAAAGTTCCTTTGATGTCGAAAATGCAGCAGAGCTTGTCTGTTGGCAAAACCTTGTCTCAGATCCATGCACCTGTGGTTTGCACTGGAGAATAAAAGAAAGCCTAATGAAGAAGGAACATACACATAACTTTTTCCCCAGTAAATGTGTACTATCCAGCCACCGCAGGCATCTTTCTAGTAACCCAAGCCTGTGCGTGCATATGTATCTGTTGATTTCTGTCCTTGCTTATTCAAAGGGGGCCTGATGGGTTAAAGATATTATACTGTAAGCACTCATGCCTAGGACTAAACATGATCTTTCACGGTTGACTCTGCTAGTGGCATGGGAGCAGAAGTTGCAGGTGTTCTTGGGGCTATTTCAGGGATTTGGGGCCTGGCTGTGGGGCAGACAGGGAGTGTCTACAGCCATGGTTAGCTAAACGAATAATATGTGTTGAAAGCTGTTCTGCAGCATTAAGTCCAGCTTGGCTTGCTCTGACTGACAGCACCTGCAATCTAGCAGGACTATTTTCATGTGCATCTCTCTCTCTGCTTGCTCTTTAGTCATGTGCCAGCCCCTCAGGTGTCCGAACCCATGACTGCCTTGTGAGCTGATAGCATCTTACTGGCTCTTCCAAACATGAGCCTTTGTGATAGTGCTGGGCAGTCCTACTCAGCTTGGAGGGTCTAGGCCTGAGGAAATAGGGTGGTGATTATCTCATCCAACTCTGCATTGCAGATTTCTTAGCACTGTAGTGATCTCGCTGTGAGCAAGTGCCCCCAGGCTCCCTTTATAGTCAGGGGAGAGAAACATGTGCTGTCTGGGTGTGGTTTATCTGACCTATTTTAGATGCCAAAGTTAGGATGAGTTGAATCATGTCCTCGATTCCATTGGCTGGGATGAGAGCAGAGGGTAGCTAGCTCACACAGAGATACCTACATTGTAGACATCTCTGTTCAGTCAACGGTTCCCACCCACTATGTCTCATTTGCTGCTATGACTGTTATTGAGGCTTGGGGAGATATAACTGGACTGGGATTGAACTGGTTAGCTTGGCCGTCTAGCAGGGGGTCTACAGTTGATGGTTCTGGTGTTGAGAATCTGAACCTCCCTCCCTTCCCTGTTTCCCCCAAATCTGTTCAATGCATCAGTGGTTAACTTGTGGTGAACTCCATAGTGCCAGTACCTAACCTTGGCCAACTACATCCTTACAGACAGCAGCTCATAGTGTGGGCATCTGGACTTTAGACAGGGAAGGGAGATGTAATACTAAATGCAGCCTTTACCTAGTATTTCAGCCATTTTAGTTCCTTCTGTTTGGTCTGCTATTGATCAAAATACTGACTCCTTAAATGTTGTACTTGTGGACCACTACTGGCTGTGTCATCTGGAGTCCAAATCCTAGATAGATCATAAGCGAAACTAGGGCATACTGGGTGCCAGAGATGATTTGGGAACATTGTCATGTGATAGGGAAGAAACTCTTGTAGAGATAAGTGCCATCTAAGAAGGTCTGTTCCTGTTAGTTGTAGCCATGGCATTATGGAACACCACTTGTAAGTGTTTAAGAACTTCCTTCTCCCACGTTTCTTCAGTCTCCAAGGTCTGTCATCATAGTGTGGGATAGATGCGTGGACCACAAAAGAGGGAATTTATAGTGCTGCCAGTCTTGCTCTGCTGTTCAAAGGATTGACAGAGTGGGGGAAAAGTGTGATGTTTGCATCAATAACTGGAACATCTTCTCCCTTTCGTTCCAGGGAAACAGCTTTCAGAGTTTTGATCTGAAGCTTGTGTGGGTAGATGAAAACTGCAGGGAGAAATCAGTTCCAGGACTGTAAGTGAAAAATTACTACTTGAGGGTGTAAAAAAAAAAAAAAAAAAAAAAAGTGTTCAACTTGATTGCGAAACTTTGTCCCATTTTATTTCCACTCAGTAGGATGGGTTCTGGGCTAAGGGTAATTGCAGCACTTCTCAGATGGGATTTCGGCAGCTTGGACTTGCATTGCTTGCCTTTGCTCACATATAGAAATCAATCAATAATAAAATGGTTTGGGGTCCAGATCTAGAGCACAAAGATGAATTGAGTAGTTGAGTACGTCTTGAGAAGGAAAAACTGACTGCAAATCGCCGTTAACTTCTGAAGAGGAATGGGAAGAACAGGAGCTGCTGTTTGACCGAGAAATGTGTTTTTCATAGTCTCTGTAACGTCTTTTGCTCCACAGGTATGGACTCCGCATTATAACCCCAGAAGAAACGTTCTTTCTCTCTGCCAAAGACCCGCAGATGAAGGTTAGCAGTGGGCAGGGTGTTTCTGATCCATCTGAAATACTGGGCACCAAGTTTTGAAACAGGGTAATGGCATAGAGGGGGTGGCAGCTCTGTAGTGGAGGCAAAACATTGACTACTGAGTGGAAGATGAAACCCCATTAAGTGTCAGGATTTTAGCTTCTTGATCAGAAGACAGATTAGTGGGCTTTGACCTGCTTAAATGCAGCTGAGCGCTTTCCTTTGTGATTTTTGCCTTTTTCTATTAATTAAATCAGAATAATAAGCAGTGTGGGGTTTGGTGATATTTTTTTTTCTTTCCCCTCTGTGGAGCAAATATTGTATTAGATGGCCAGAGGTGGCTTAGACAGTTGATGGTGGATGAAAAATGTCCAAGTGCTGGAAGTGGTCAGCCCTGGGCAGTAGTATGTGCTGTAGAGCTTGGGATGGTACAGTCCCATCATCATGGTCCTGTGCCAAGGCCAATTAGTGGTGGTGAGAGTCAGTCTTAAACGACATGGAAGTGTGCATTGGTGCAGATTCCAGCTTACAGGACCTAAGATAACACCTCCTGTTGATGCTGTAGATGGGCCATAATTCACCAGCCCAGCCAGCTGAATGGCGCAGAATTGATGTGAACCCAACAGCTTCTTGCTGCTTCTCCTAAAGTATCTCTTGTTCGGAGCTATTATGCATTCTTCCCTTGTTAGTCCAGCATTCCTTTTCCTCTACATCCAGGCTGTTTGGCAGTGGAAGCTGAACCAGGCTGTCCGCCAGGCACTGAACGGGAAGCGAGATTTCCCATTGTGGGGCAAGACTGGCGAAGGCAACGAGCCCCCGTCCTGCCGCTTCTTCACCTATGTCTTCAGGATGGAGGGCAAGTTCAAGAGCGCAACCTACGAGGGCGAGTGGCACTGGGGAAAGCCACATGGCAAGTAAGGAGCCTTTTTTGCCCCTTTCCTAAGCAAGAACGTGCGAGCATGTCTTTGTGTAGCACTGCCTGGATCCAGTAGATGCACAAGTGGAGGTATAGATGCCACAGAGTGGCTGTGGACATGGGGTGATCCATCCCGTGCTGAGGGCCTGGACCACAGACTCCGGGCCGGTATCTCCCAGGGTGTTCCAGCCTCTCTGGTTCCTGCCTCTTTTGTTTCCAGAGGGAAATCTGGTATTGAGGACAGAATCAGGGGGCAGTTAGGACACATTTGCTTGATTTCAGGGCTTAGTCAAAGCAAGAGTCCTGACACATGATCTATTTTATTGCAGATGTCTTGTTAGCGATACTGGTTTATGCAGTGAATTGTAGAGGCTGCCCCAATAACGTGGTAATGATCACATTGAAGGTGCTGCATTGGCTTATGCCTGTAATTAAGACTTAGACTTGAGCTAATGTTTGTTTCAAGATCTCAGCCTGAGGCATAAAATCATGCCATCATGATGACAAAAAAAAACCCAATAAAAAGCCTTTGCTTGTGAATGAGAGGAAAGTTTTATCCTGTGCTATCAACATCTATTTTAACAGCCAAATTATTATCAAAGGAATTAAAATTAAAAAAAAAAATCAAAACCAGAAGAGGCTCGAATGCATGTCTTGGGAACATGAGAACTGTTCGCTAAATCCAACTGAAGTTTAAGAGTGAGCTCTGCCAAAAGGGAATGGTCTGTAAATCAGAGGTTAAATGGTGCCAACCAAAACCTCTTTAACATAGTATAGAGTACAGTCTCTGGTTTTGTGAAGAAACATGAAATATGACCAACTTCCTTAGACACCAAAACAGGCTGGTTTTGAAGTTTTGTATTTCCTGAGTTGCACACAGTTTTATTTACAGTTGCTATTGAAGCAGAAAGGATGTAGAAACTTGGTTTGAAAGAGCCTTAAAATAAGGAGAATATCCAAAATCAAAAGCTTAATCCTGTGGAAGAGAAAGTGCCTTGCCCCAGACTAGCACTAAATAAGTGTTTAGAGTAGAGCTGTGCCTGAGGCAGTCCTTTACATCATCCCCACCTTCCCCAGCACCTGCATTTCTAACAGAGATCTGAAAACCATCATGTGCAGACACAGAGGGGCAAGGACCTCTCCTTGCTCTTTGTTTCCTCCTGTTTTAGGGTTGGAGAAATGAGATTAACAAATCCCTCCGCCGCTTCAGATTAAGAGTCTTGACTGAGGCATCCCAGGAAATTTGTGGCAGAACTAAGTGACTTCACCTGCTTTTAATACCTGAGCTTTTAGCTGCTTAATTACTCGGCTTTCCTTCCCACTCCTGAATTGCTCTTCTATGTGACTTGCTACTAAGACAAGGTTACAGAGCAGCAAAGCTGGCCTTGATGGCTTGTCCACCTCTGAGGGAGAGGCTGGCATGGCAAAGCATATGAGCACCAAGCTGCAGCAGTGTGAATCAGGGCTTTTCAGCAAAAACGTCTGTGCCTCACTGTCTGTCCCAGTACTCCTGATGACGTGGTGTGGAGGAAGGAGATACTCCCACTGAGAAGTAGCTTAAACCATGCCCATGGCTGGAGCAGGCATTCTCTCTGGCTTGCTCTCCTTTGCTAGCATTCATAGAATCATAGAATCATAGAATCATTATGATTGGAAGAGACCTCAAAAATCATCAAGTCCAACCGTATACCTGATGCCACCATGTCCACTAAACCATGTCTTGAAGAACCATATCTAAACGTTTTTTGAATACCTCCAGGGATGATGACTCCACCACCTCCCTGGGGAGCCTGTTCCAATGCCTAACAACTCTAACAGTGAAGAAGTTCTTTGTTTTCATACTAGCAAAGAAAAAGAAGATGTATTTTAAATCCACTTTAAATTAATCTGAGCACTTTCCTGTAAATACCAGAAAAAGAACCTGTCTTATGTAGGTGTTTAAAGCAACAGCCCCAGTGAAAGTCAAACAAATGCGTCATGGTTTTGGTAGTGCACCGTCTTCCATTGTCTCTGGTTGGGGAGTGTGTAGGGAGCTGATTGTGTCTGCGATGATGCAAGAATTAAAACAGTGAGTGGGTGTGGGTGGAGTGGGAGGTGGGGAGGGAGGGAAATGCATTTGCAACTGGGCATGGCCATGCAGTAATTCGACCATTGCATTGACTGTTCCAGTCTCATTTTGCATTGTTACCTCGTGTAATCATTTCTACAACGCCTGCACAAAACAGATGGAAAGGTATGATCCCTTTAGGCCAGTGCTTGTCTCTTTTGTTCTCATAGTGCCTGGCATAATGAAGTTTTGAACCGTGGTGTCATTATGTTGTCTATGAGGATGTGCCATGCTGGAACTTCAGCTGGCTTAATCACGTGCTGCTTTGCAATTACAAAAGGATCATGTGCAAGGTCTGAAACGGATGACCCAGCAACTCTACAAAATGCTTCTGAGATGAGGGAACTTGCAAGAGGATTTTTCCCACTCATCCCAGGGCATGAAAACATTACGGTATTAAATCCTTACGGTGCAAACCAAAGTCCCAGAGGTGCCTGGAGAACTTCTGTGTCTCTGTCCCCTGAGGAAATGTTTTGATGTCAACCATTTCTAGGTTGTGCCTTGATATCTTCTGTTGCAGCAGTGAATGTTGCTGGTGATCTCCCTTGTGTAATGCTTGCTTTGAATTGCAGGGGGACACTGAAGTGGCGTGATGGACGCAACCATGTTGGAGATTTCAAAGAAGGCTTGGAGCATGGGTAAGCCTTGAAAAACAGGGCGTCTCTTGCTTTCAAAATAAGCTAAGAAATGGTTCCTCCCAGAGGTATAGGGACACTGGTGTCTCGTAGGGGGTCTCTATTTACTGTTACAGCCCAATTCATCTAATCTATTTTAGACCTGGCTTAAGCTTGAGTACATTGTAACCTACAGCAAATGGATTGACAGTGACTACAATAAAAGAAGTGTGGGCAGATGACTAGTTCAGATGCAGACATGTCCATTCAGCTGGATGAATCTGACCTCTGATCTCTAAATCTAGGTGAATTTATTCATGTGAAATGCCTTGAAAAGTTAATTTTAGATATTTTTAAAAACCTCTTTTAAATGAGGAGTTTTCAGGGGAAAGAAACCATACTATGAAATTCAAATATTATTTTTGTAAAATTTTTTGAAAGGAAGACTTTTATATTTCTCATTTGTACATGAGTTCCAGAATAGGTTAGGTTTTTAAATGGAAAAAATATCTCAAATACTTTGTGTCAGGATTAAGAAAACATTTTATTTGGACCAAAGCAGTTGCTTTGGTAGCCTAACTCAGCCTCTAAACTGGGGAAGAAGTAGAGAGGGGAAAAAAAAAGCACCACCACTGAAAGTAACTCTGTAGAAGGAGCAATGAGAAACTCTGACTGCAGCTCACAAGGAGATGAGCTCTTCCTTTGACCAAATCCATTGACACCTGGAAATAGTGTCAGAGGTAGGGCTGACCCCAACCATGTAAATCATTTGGGAGTCTGGAAGGTTCTCAGTTTTTAAACTTCATCCAGTACAACTGAGTCACCTTTTGCCATGCTGACTTCTGCCATATGCACCTCGCAGGTTTGGAATATGCCTTGTCCCACGCCGATCTGAAGACCGGTATGACTGCTATAAGTGCCACTGGTACGAGGGCAAGATGAGAGGCTATGGAATCTGTGAGTAAGTAAAACCCAAAGATGGACTCTGGGGAAAAAGGGGACTCCACCTCTTTAAAGGGTGAAATGTTCCCTCCGGACTGTGGAAGGCTCAGTCACAGTGTAAAACCCAGGGTAATTCAGGTGCCAGAAGCTTCTGCTTTGGAGATGGACAGTATGGCTTCTTCGCAAGCCCTGAGTCTCCTGAGAATTAGACTAGTCAGATCTTCTCTGCAAGCTATGACCACTGGAACCACCTGACATAGCATCCTCTGTGCCCTATAGGTGAGGATATAAGTTTGCCTTCATGTTTGCGGTTGCAGAGCAGAGAATGCACGGTGTGCCACCAGCCCTGGATAGACTTGGTGGAGCACACAGCTCACTCTGTCTCCCCTGGCCACGCTGTCTGAACTAAATCTTGTGTAGAATAGGTTCCTTAACGATGGATGGGATTGTTGGTCTGGGAGTCATAACTGTTATCCTGAACTACTGAAAAGGGCTGGTTCCCCCAGCTGGCTTTTTTTTTTGCTCACTCAAATTCTGAGCTTAAACCCAGAGGTTAACTTAAGACATGGAGTCTGCGGTTTTCTTATTTACTCACCAAAATGTTTCTGGCAACAGTCATTTGCACACCTTTGTCTCAAAGCGTTGCTGGGAATTTGGATGGAGCCTGGTTTGTAAAGCACTGTATTGTGGACACATGGTGGTGTCCCAGCCTTACCTGCCATCTGCCTTCCATTGAGAGAGCCAGAAATGGAAGCAGAGGCCTGCTCAGAAGGTCATAGGTATAAACCAGTTTCATTTGCAGTCTACAGGGTTAAATGGACAGGACCAGCTTGTTTTGTTTATGCAGCAGTGAGCGCAACAGCATCCTCGTCTTCGCTTAGGTCACACGTGGCTTGTAGCCAAACGAGCTGGCCAATTGAAGACTGGACTGCCCGTCGCTACTGCACAGACTGACCCACACTTACCCCTTACCCAGATGCTTTCACTGCACCAAGCGTGACACAGGAAAGCACATAGCCCAGCTTTCCAGCTGCTTATTATGGGATAGGCCATCTTCCTTCCTACAACCTGCATCTTCTGCTCCTTACTTACGAATCAAACTCAGAGTACAGGACGTGCAGAAATCTCTAGGGAACTTGGCACCAACTGAGTAGCATTGTGCTAATGTCTTTGTTGTCCAATGTGAGAGCACGTTGGTAATTATGGATGACAACTCTGCTTAGCATAAGTGCTTTCTCTGTTGTAGCAGTGAAGATCTGCTGGCCAGCATGGACAGAGCTACGGGGAGCTCTTCTCAGGGGGATGAGCCCAGGAGAAGGGGTGGTTGGTGAGCATAGAAAGGTGAAGGCAAATCTGGCTTGTTGCTTGATCTCATCTGCTCCTAGTCTGGATTAGCCAGTAGTCACTGCAAGCCAGCTGGTGAGAGGTCAAGGACTGAGTGGCCTCGCCCAGGACAATTGGAAGCCGAAGTGTTTTGTCCTTGGATAATGTTGAAAGCTAACTGTGGAGTGACTAGCTTGGGTTTGGGTGATGCACATTCCTAATAGTGAACAGCTACTGGCTCCGGAGCTATCAGGCAAATATTTGAAATATTTATCAAGCAGTTGAGCCTAATCTACTCCCTTTCCTGGCTTCCTACTCCAAGAGTAGCTATCATAGAATCATAGAATCATTATGGTTGGAAGAGACTTCAAAGATCATCAAGTGCAATCTTCTACCCAATGCCACCATGCCCACTAAACCATGTCTCGAAGCACCACATCTAAATGTTTTCTGAACATCTCCAGGGATGGTGAGTTCACCACCTCCCTGGGGAGCCTGTTCCAATGCTTAATGACTCTTACAGTGAAGAAGTTCTTCCTAATATCCAACCTGAACCTCCCCTGGTGCAACTTGAGAGCGTTTCAAATAATATCAAATAATCACAGTCTTAAATTCTGTTTATCTCCCTGCAGGTATGGGAATGATATTGTCTACAAAGGTTACTTCAAAGACAACGTGCGTCAAGGGTTTGGGATACTGGAGAACTTCTCAGCCGAGCATCCATTTAAATACACAGGACAATGGGAAAATGACAAGAAGAATGGATATGGAGTCTGGGAAGACAAAGATAGGTAAAGGTGGTATGAATCAGAGCTGGCTTTAGGTGCCTGACGGTTTTGTCCCTCTGTTGGCAGTGGTAAAGCCTCATGTTTTGAATGGGAGACTTGAGGATGAATGAGGGATGTGTTCAACCTCTGCTATAAGGCTTGAACTCCTGGGGACGCATTATATGAATTGAGTTTGTGCAGTATATCTGGCACTTGTGCTGCATGGAGCATTATATTAGGTAAAACTAGCCTCAGTGAGTGATACATCAAATTGACTAAGATCTAAGAAAACAGGGAAAAAACATCGTTTGTTTTCTATTGCATTCCAGAGGGGAGAGATACATAGGGACATGGCTTGATGATCACAAACATGGACAAGGCATTGTAGTAACCCAGTCGGGTGTCTGCTATCAAAGGACATTTCATGCTGATAAAATGGTGGTGAGTATGCATTTTCAGTGAACTCTCTAGATCAGTGAGATGTGGAATTCCCCATCAAGGGCAAGATCAAGATTTCACTTCATAATTAATCTTTGGGGGAAAATAGAAAGCAAGAAAACTTAAGCACTGATATTTTACCATAATAATGTTTTTGAAGAATAAGGCCTAGATTAAATCTTGTTTCTTATCGCCTTCCTGAGGTGCAGGTAGGAACTAGATGTGAGAGTATCACTTCTCCTGGCTCATGCTAAGATACCTTATAGGTCTGGCTGTTCACCTGACCATCAGGTCGCAATTATAGACCAGAACTCATATTGAAGTGCTGCACAGTTATATGTGATACTACATTTATCTTAGAGATCATTAAGTCTTTACCTTTCCAATGTGAGCTTACCTATGACAAGTTGGCTGTCCAGTTCATTGAAAATTTAAATGCTGGTGGGGAAAGCAAAAGGGATTGGCATCACTAGAACTGGCCTGGAAACAAAAGCATTTCTTCTCATGAAAAATACATGCTTAAAAAACCAAATCCCTTCCCCACTCACCAAATTAGGCCAAATGTGTAGCATGGAAACTTTGTCAGAAGGGCTCTCCATAAAACCTCCATCCGCGGGGAACCAAAATAAAGCTGTCTTTTGGTTTGCCAGCTGCCAAAAGTTCCTTTAACTTCACAAGGCTTCCGGGTGGGGAGCAGTCACTTCAGTTTTTCTAGTGGAAAATTGGTATGACCAAGAAGCTTCCCTTGGAAACCTTTTATTTTTGCCAGAAAGGGCGCTTTCCGTCAAGAAAAGCATTCCAGTGGAAAATGTGTTACAGCTCTGAAAGTGACCACATTTTCTGGCTGGTATGGATACATATAAACCTTCGGGCTCAAACCATGGGCTAAGCCCCAACAAGAAGAATCTTTCCCCATTAGTGTGAATTATCCTGTGTCTGTTCTGCATCTTGGTGCTCCTTCCCTGAGATGTGTGCTGCTGTCAGCAGCCATGGGAGTTGGGAAGTAATGGAACGAGTCATTTAATGAATGCTTAAGAGCAGCTCATTAAAGCGTTGTTGACTGCACAGCAAGGGACAAAGCTAATTCTACGTAGCATCTGCCTTCCTCTTTCCTCTTAATCATCTTGCAAAGAATGACGCACTTGGCTACAATCACCTATAGGTCACAGGATTGGGAGGACCATGAGTTTGACCCATATGACAATTTTTGGTGACCGTTCTTAGGACAGAAGCCTGCCTTTTGTTCCTTCTTCTATGGAAATGAATGCAATAGTACGGTTGTTTAAAACCTCCTGACTACCAGGACGTCTCTGTGCAGTGACACCTAATGGTTTATCTCTAGAGCATCTCCTTGCTTTTCTCTTCAGCGTTGCAATGATATGTTGGGCTTTCAAAAAGGTTCTCAGAATCTGCAGCCCGTAAATAGTCCAAGCCAGTGGCTGTTTCTAGAGGAATTTGAGCAGATAGGAAGTTAATGTAATGAATTCACTACTTCTGCTTTCAAATAAAGGGTTCTGGGATTCTGCTCTTGGAAGATGACTCTGTCTACGAAGGGAACTTCACGGAAGATCTAACATTTGTTGGAAAGGTGAGCACGTCCTTCATCTCAGGTTTTCTATGCAGTTGCTTGCTTTCCAGAAAGGCCCATGGATTAATCTTCAAAGTTCATACCCTCCTGCTCCACTTCCCCCAGAAAAGAATATTTTCCAGTGTTTTTTCTTGTTTCTTTGTTTGGTTGTTTTTTTTTTGTTGTTTGGTTTTGTTTTTTTTTTGTAATATCAGTCTCATTCACAGGAGAAAGGCTGCAGCTGAGAGACTTCAAGTAGCTGCGGGTTTTGTGCATTGTTTTGGTTTTTACTGTTTTGCTTACACTGAGGGTTTGGGGTTTTTTTCTTTTTGTGGGACATTTTTGGCTGTGCTTTGCAGCTGCAGTTGGGATGCTTTTGTATTCTTAGAGCAAATGTTTTAGCCTTTGTAGTGGTTGAGAACACAGGAAATGATGTATAAACCAAACAGAATTGCAGTACTGCACTATGCTAACGTAACCGAGATGTTAACATAGCTGAGGGATCTTAGAAGCTTAATTTTGCAATCTGGATGCTGCACGGACACGTTCAACATTTTGTGGTTGATCTTTAACAGAAGTATCTGGTTAAAGTGTTCATAAAGTGCCCTGTTGCAAGGAAAACTAGTCCTCTGGCTTTTTACAGAAATCTATGATGAGTCTGACAGGAAGAGTGTGGTTATATCAGACTGAGTGGATGTCAAAATAGATACTTGGTAATGATTGCAAATGAGCCCTGTCATTTACTGAATGGTCATGGGAGGAAGAGTTTGTCATCATCTTCTTCATAGAAGACTCAGGGTGGGTTTTGCAGAGGCTGATTATAGTATTTAGACACTGTTTCTTCCAAAATTGATGATTAGTTTTGATTGTTAGTCTAGAAAAATCTGTTCTTTATCTAAAGATGGAGTGCCTCCTGCTATTAGCAATGAGGATTTCAGGCTCGTATTCAAAGCCAGACTAATTAACAATATTGTTTGGCTTTGGATTTGATTCAATTAAAACCTCTAAGTTTGAGTCAAGCTACTGCATGTCTTCAGTATTTGCCTCAGAGAATTTAAGGTTTGTCTTGTTAGCAGCAAACATTTCGAAATGTTTATGGTGAATATCATATGATTGCCCCTACCTGTGAGGCCAAACTTGCTTGTGGTTTCAGCAAGCAGAGGAAAAACAGAGGAGAAATTGAAGTTTCATGTGTTCACTCTAGGTTAGAAATAACTATTGTAAAATTTAAGCCAGAAAGTTTTATAACCCAAAGAAGATACTGGGTATTTGTAAAATAAAATGCGAATGTTTTACTCTGCGATTGTGACAGTCTTTCCCCTCCAGAATCCAACGTGTGTTATTCAATAGCAAGGATGTGTTGTCTCCAGTGACTGCTACCTTAATGACACTATTGCCTTGGATGCTGAAAATGGGCACCTCTCTGCTAGAAGTTGTTCTTAGTCACCACTTCAGGAGCTGGCTCTGTTGAAAAGAGAATTTCAGATCTTGGTCCAGCTTGTTTCCTCTGTCTAATGAGATCTTGGCAGAATAACCCTTTATTTCTCCATTGCAGGGAAAGCTGTCATTTGCCAATGGCTTCATTTTGGAGGGAACCTTTACTAACAAATCTGGCCAAGGCCTTCAGACGCACGGCATCCTGAACACGTCGAATGAGCAACTGGATGACAGGATAACCAAAGCGTGAGCAACAAGAGCTGACTTCTCGGGTCATGGCTTGTATTTCGTGGAGTATTGGATCAATCCCTACAAGGATCAAGGCAGTCCTTGCTGAAAGAGTTTATCTAAAACCTGTTTTATATGCAAGGAGAGAAGGAGGAAAGGAGAGCACAATTTGTCATTTAATGTTAATGTCACATAGGAAGTAGAAAGCATTTGTTCTACTCCCATCCTGCCACCGTCCACCCAGAGATACTCTTGTCTTCCGACTGAAGAAAGTTTTGGAGGCTTAACATTTTCAGTGACTTGTGCACATGTGTGTGCGCACACACGCATTTCTGTGTATACACACAAGATATACAGGGAAGCTGGGCTGCTAAAATGCTTCACTTGCTCCTTTCCTGTCCTTCTGTGCCTACTACATGAACATTACCAGCTGATATTGTAGAGGTAGGAAATCTACCAAAAATCAAGAAGTGATGCACAGCACGTGAAGCTCTGAAGAGCTGGAATTGGGTAGTGCTTTATGTGGAGGAAGGCTATGGAGCCAGGATCAGAGCTTCACAGGGCACTGATGCTGATTTGGCAGGTAACGGTGTGGACGCAGGGTTGAGGAACTGAGCTGAAGCTATCAGGCCACATCCTTTGGTATAGACTCATCTTCAGGGCTGAACGCTGTAAAGGGATGCTCTGGTTGCTAGGCTGGAGGGCCTGGGTTCAGCCAGTTTAACCCAAACGAGGGAGTCCCAGTGGGAAAGACAGCTGCCTGTCCTCTAAAGGGAATTCCTCTCCCAAAACCCAGTTCAATTTCCTCGTCTTTCCTCTTCAATACATTTCCAGTCCACCAGAGTATCTATGTTGCAGAAACGGCTCCTGTTTCCTGTGCTTTTCAGGCAGCAACAGCTACTGGTGGTGGTTGCTCAACTGTACTTCTTGCTGTCAGTCTTTTCTGCAGGCTTTCAGTTGAAATAAACAGTCTATATTTAGAAATATCTGTAAGTGGAACAGAAAGCCTGCGATCAATTAACCAGCAAAGATTCAGATTATTGATGTTCCACGCACTAGGAAATTTTCTTCACCCAAAATACCTCGTTGTCAGGACAATAGAGTTGAGTTGCTTTTCGTTGAATTACCAGTGAGGCACTGCCATCTTTCTCTGCTCCCATAGTTCTTGTGTTAATATCTGATTCTGGAGAACCTTCCATATTTGAAGGTGAAATCTGGAATGATTGAGGAGGGATGCAGAAAAGCCTAATGCCGTGTTATGTTTTGCAGTCAGCTGGGCCTCGAGTTCCCAGTGGAGAAGAGATGGAAGGGAATCTATGACCAGTTCCTGGAGTTCATCCATTCTGGCTGCAAAGAAGAAACAGAGGAGTCTTTCACGGGGTTCCACATACAAACGAGCAAGGAGCTGCGGAAATCTCAGGAGTACCTCTTCTGCCAAAGGTATGAGTCGCATGCCCTCATTGCAACAGAGGAGCCCATTTGTGTAGAGAGGATAGTGGTTTACATCAGGGTCTGCCATGTGTTAGAGTTATGATCCCAAACATTATCCGGTTCTTCCTGCTCATGAGACAGGAGGATGAATTTTAAGCCTGAAATTAAGGTTGTGCTGTTGAGACTGATTCTTATAAGTGAAAATTTGGATGGGATTCAGTTAATTAAATGTAAGCATCTGCATATGACCCAGTCATCGCTGGCTTCTCTTGTATTTGAGGGAACCCTAGCTGACATCATCAGCTGATGCAGAGCAAACTCATCTCCCCTTAAGAAAGTACCTAAAACAGATCAGGCAAGCATGTGCAGGATGCAACCCAGGCTGATTGTAGGGGGAGCCGAAGGCAATGAATTTAGATAATTGCAGGTGTTGCAAGCCAGTGGAGCGATTCCACTGAAAAGGGTAGAGAAAAATTCATTTGTTCTAATATTCTTATTGCCCTCTTGGAATCTACCTGCAATACCAATTGGGATTTATCCCAGAGCTTCAGTGTGTGGTTTTCCTCCCTCACCTCTCATCTTTGCAGGGGGACTGAGGATGTATCCTGGAAGATAGAAGATATTCTTGAAGAGCTTGTCCGGCACCAGGGGCTGGAGTCACTACAGAGTTATTTAGAGAAGGTAAAATTTAAAACCATGATCCACGTCTGTCCACCAGACACAGACACACATCATAGCAACTTTCTGTTAGCACATATAACATTGCCAGTGACTTCAAAAGTCTCTAAATGATATGTGAATACCTGTGCTTGTGAAGAAGAGGGTTATCCTTCATGCTTTTTGGACACTTATTTTGTGTACAGCTATAGAGGCCAGGAAGCAATGATAAAGCTTCGCTCTTGGTTCTCAACCTGTGTCAGGGAATAGCCAGCTGCTGGAAACTATTAATAAACTTCCATGGACTCTCAGTGGTTGTTTTTCACTCAACCAGCCTTTCCCTGAAGCACCCTTTGCTCTCTCCCTTGGACGTCACAGCAAACCTCACCAGAACAGCATTTCTACTAAGCACATCTCTGCCTGATAATGGGAGGAGAACGGGCTTGTGGCAGCAAAAATAGACTGAAATTATAGTTGATTACCTCTAGGCTTTTTCTCCTTTGCTGACAAGAGAAGGTTGGGTGGCCTTTCAGCGTTATCCTCTACTAATGGCAAGGGCTGACTTGTAAAATTTAATTTTCCTCTATCATGCAGGCATTGAAGTCTTCCCTGCACCCACTGGGAAAGCTACTGAAGGCCTTGGCGATAGCTTTTCAGGCAACGTATTGTGGGATTGGGGCCAACAGACACTTGCTGACTATGGCACAAGAGGAAGTCAAGTACTATGCAAAGAAAATATGGGAGTTTTACCAGTAAGTCAAACACGCTGGTTCTTTCCAACAGTTATGAGCATAGAGGGCTTGTGGAGTAGATCATTGGGATAATTTTTTCAGGTGACAGGGCTGCTTTATTTCACAGCATATTTCTTGGGAGGGTTGCTTCAGAATGGTGCTAGATAAAGTTATTTGCAATAACTGAGGTCACATGGACCTAGAAAACCTTTAGTGTGCCCATGGCTCAATATATAACCCAGAGGCTTTAATGTGACTAAATCTCACTGAGTTATGGCAGCTCAGTAAGCTGCTGCCCATAATAAGCCTTCATTTAGACAAGCACAAACATGAGCAAGAAACCTCATTAAGTAACGAGGACAGCAAAGTATATCAAAGCACACAACAGTGGTGTTCGATATCTATGTTTGAATGAAAAATAGCTTAAGCTTAACGTGCTTCAACTCAACAGGAGTTAAGAACATGCAGCGTAAGCATGCTGAGGCTCGGCTGATGTGGGCAGTGACTCTAAAATGAGGTTGTTCAGTTGTGTGGTTGTGCCCATAGGTAATTAAGGACTGGATCAAAGGCATGTTTGGGTCCTGTTGCTGTTTTAATAGTTTTTAGGAAAAGATACAAGAAATGCCCCAGTAGGCAGAGGTGAGGAACTCTGCCTCTAGCTACACTTAGGGTGGTATTGCTTCAAAAAGAAGAGGTTGGACAAAAGCTCTGTTGTTATCAGTGTAGCCTTGTGTGCTTGAGGAAAGCTGCCAGGTCTATGATGAGGGTTGTCTGTCCTGGAGCAGTCTGAGAACAGCAGCACCCCTGACGGGAACAAGTTGATTCGGTTCATCTGAGCTGTGTTCATGAACAGTACAACAGAGCTGACAACCGGAGTGTTGGTTCATGTGAAGGTGCTTCTGAGCTCAGTGCATACCTTGGATAGCTTGCTTCATGTCTGAAGACCTTTCAGGTGCAGTGTGGGGAGGGAGACCCACCTTGCTCTCCTGTGCCCCTGGCTAAGTTTCCTAGGCTGATACTTCTACAATAAAAAAAGGCAACCTCTCCCTAATCCTCATTTTTAAAATTATGAAGTTTTGGCTTGGAAAATTCAAGACAAACCCAAGCTACTTTTTCAGAGTATGAACATCATCTAATGTTTGTAGATGGATTAGAGAATTGGTTGGAATGACAGGTCCTGAAACCTCAAGTCCCTTGAGTGGGAATACAAGGAGATGGTGCTCAATGCAGACCACAGTTAGGATTTCCAGAGTGACCACCCTACTCTTTAGAAACTATGGAGATTCTTGAAACACTTATTCATTCCTGGCAGCTTCTACTGGTAATGAAGAAAGCCCTCAAATAGTAAAATTTGAATACTGAAACAACACTGCAAGAATTAGAGCTTTACTAATACCCCACTTGATGCTGGGACAGCTGAGCTCCTCACTTGTGAATAACAAATCAACCTTAAAAAAAGGAGGGAGGGAACTAAACCTTGGTTCTGCTGCTCTTCTAGGGGTTTGCTCCATCTGGCACTGAAACAGAAAGGCCAACTGCCCACAAAGTGTGTGGATGGGGATACAAGGTATGTGTCACCACTGGTCGTTTAATTTTAAGCTGCTTGGACGTATGGGGCATCTTCTAAAACACATTAAGTGCTGAACTGATTGTGTTTGTCCATTTGAGTCGGGTTTATTGCCCACATTTCTCTCTGAGTGCAAAACTTTCAGTAGTTCTGCTTCAAGCATGAGAGCAACTTCTTCTAACCGTGTTCTGTAGCAGGATAGAGTGGTGAGCGAGCTGTGTGTGTGGTACACAGCCTTGCAAGATGACCCACACCAGCTACTGAGCAGTAGCACGGCTGTGTGCGAGACAGCAGTCCCAGCACTACCGCGTGCTTTGCATTAGTCACTTGTTCATTGCGGGGATGACGACTTCCATACCAGCACTGAGAGAAAGGCAGGCCTGAAAATAGGGAGTACAGTGTGGGAAATGTGGCAGAGGAGGTAGAAGATATGATGTTCCTAGAATAAGAAGGTAGGAATAATTGTGGGAGATCCAGGTTTAGGGGTTTTGGGGGTAGGAAGAGGCATCTTTGTTCAGCTGTCCCCATTTGGTCTGGATTTCTCTTTGCTGTTAATCTGCAGCCATCGCCATGTGGGCTGAAGGAAGCCAAGAGGCTGGTGCAACGGTAAGCAGCTGGAAAAGGGCTTTATCTGAATTTATTTGGTCTTTGTCCCTGATTAAATAACAAGTGCTCTACTGAAACAGCTCAGAAAGAAGAGCTGGAGATAGGTCTCTGATGCTCCAGGTTTCTCCCAGTGACTGAGGAGATCTTGTAGAGAAACAGTACCTGTCCTGCAGCATAAAATGTATTTGCATCTTCAGCTTGTGGGCACAGGCATGAGAGTGTTACACAGGTCGCTACTGCCCAACTGTGATATTGAACTCAAAAGTGGAGGAAGGAGGGGAGAACAAGGAGAACACCTTGCAGTCTCAGAAGCTGTCTCTTCCATCGTGTGGCTCTTGGTAATAGCAAGGTTATAGGGCTCACTGTAGGACTCTGCTTTGCTTTTCTCTGCCATAGTGACCAGAAGGCATGCAGTGTGGTCCTGCCACTCATCTTGCCCTGCTTCTACCCTGAGCTTTTCATGCTCTACATGCTCTATCATGAAAGAGAAGATGACCTCTACTGCCAAGGGATCGTGGACCTAAGTCTATTTCCTGACATCAAGCTGCTAGAGTTTCTGGATGTGCAGAAGTAAGTGACATTTTTTTTATCCCAGGATGCAACCCCATGATACCAGTTGGGAAGGTAGCAGCCAGGGAAAGCTCTGACAGCACAGGAGGAAAGGACATATAACCTCTTCCTAGGTCCATCATTGGCTGTAGCACTGTTTTCCCAGTCTGGCAGAAGAAGTCCTGTCGTGGCGTGCCCGCAATGTCTGGAAGGACAACATCGACTAGTGTAAAGCTGCTATTATCTATACTAATTCTCTTTTTTGTGTAGCAAAAATCTTCTTTTCTGGCTCACCAAACAAATGGTTTGCTCCAACTCAGGACCAATCAGACAGAGTTTATAAATGTGTCTTAGAAAGGGCTGTAGTCCATCCAATGCTATCTGCTGTAACAATGAAGGCACACAGGGTCGAGGCTGTAGAGTCAGATGTTTCCTTCATCCTTTCCTGCAGCTAGATCCCTCTTTGGAAGTGATATGTGAGGACCAATGACTCAGACTCAAGAGGCATATGACCTTTTCTAACACAGCGTCATCTGCAGCTCAAGGACTTAAGCAGAGTAGCAGGAGACCCAGAGTCTCAATTTGGCAATTTGATTCAGCCTAGACTCAGTGGGAGAAATTGAATCTGAAAATGCTAGAACTCTCCATTGATTATTACAGGAGCATCTGTGAGTAAAATGAATGCTACACTCAGGTTAGTGAGTTCAAGCTATTAATTCTTCCCGTAGTAGTGTAACGAGAGGAGCAAACTCAGCCTCATGCACCTACAAGACTTTAGCATCACCTTGAACAAGGAGATAAAAACAGTCAAAACTGACTTAGGGTGGAGTTGAGACATGGACACCTGCCTTCTAAATCTTCTCTCTGTAATCTTTTTTTCAGACACCTCTGGCCTCTGAAAGATCTCACTCTGACAACCAACCAGGTAAGAAATAACGCTAAGAGCTTGGTGTGTTAGTGAGATGGCACTGGGGCTACGTGTTGGTGATGGCTAATGATTGAGCTTCACCTAAGTAACCACAAGGCAGACTGTACTCGGAAATCAGAGCTACATGACATGTGTTGATGAGTTCTGAGTTACTGCATATGAATTTCCAGGGGTGGGAATATGAGCTCTGCATAGGATTGCTTTGTAATTCCCTGCTGGGTGGCGTTTCAAAGACATCTGTGTTCAGAGTGGTACTGCAGACGTCGAAGTGTGTTCAGACTGGCACTGTCTACAACAGCTTTATTTTGCCGCCCTTTATGGGCAGCAAACGTTCTTATTTTGGGTCCAGCGCTGAGGATCCATGTGGTGGCTCTCGGAGAGATGCTCTTACAGAGGCACAACTCTTTGTCTCCCTTTCAGAGGCGGTCCCTTATCAAAGACAAGTGTTTCCTGTCTGCCACAGAGTGTTTGCAGAAGCTGATGTAAGTCACTGTTCATAACGTCTGACTGACAACCAGGGATTTTCTGTTTTCTGGGAAAATCCATAAATGTACACCTGTTTACAAAAGCATTTCTGGGTCAGCCTGCAAGATTATTTAAAGAAAAGTTGTTGGTGATACTATTTCTGTTTAAAAGGAAAAGTTCCCCCCCAAAAAAATATTGAGACAATATCGATCGTGTTTAAGTGCAACCCTCCCCTGGCTAATATCTCCCCTTAATTTTGCAGAGATATTCCTACGCAAAATCTGACTTTGATGAGATGGAGTTCACTCAGTGTGCATAGCAAATTGGGCCTGGTTGTGACTGCCTGGTTGTGACTGCCTGGTCATGAGATAGAGCCCATTGCTCTGGACACTTGGAGCTACATGAGGGTTATCCATCCACTGGCATCCCAAGATGTTAATGTAGCAAAGCAGAGCTCAATTTAAGAAGCTCAGCTTGATTTATTGGCTTGAAGTCCAGCCTAGGGGATGGTGTGGGAAGGAATTTAAAGGGGAGGAGGGAAGTGTTGTGGGATCCATCAGACAGGAATACATTAGTCCTGGTGAGAGCTTCCCTATGAAAGCCAAGGTGACTTCTCTTCTGGGGAAGGCAGCACAGGCTACATGTGCCTTTGAAGGACGTTACGGGCAGAAAAAACAACCTTATAGATTTGACAACCGTATTAGTCCCCTGATAGAGCTGCCCAAAGTGATTTGTCCCGTGCTCTTTAGCTTTTATTTGAGGGACTGTAACTCAGGTTAGTCCTGTCTAAAATGAAAGACTGACACTAGGGTGACCAGATCATACTCAGGACTTGGGAAGACTCAAGGTCCATCTGGATGACGTTACTCCCTGGTGATGCCTCCTGGCACAACCTTGTTGCGTCCTTTTTGGTGCAGCCATCTGAGATGATTGATGGACTTTTTTTGTAGCATGATAGTCTGCTCTGATTTTTTTTTTTTTTATTTAGTTCTGCTGCTTTATCTCTTTAGCTGTGCAGTAGAAGCATCTTTCACATGGCTGTTTTCATACTGACAGCACCACGGTGGATCCTCGGGAAAAGCTGGTGATCCTCCAGAAGACATATGAGGAGATAGAGAGCACAGTGTCCCGGGTGGTGGAGAAGGACTACAAGCTCCCCATGGATGACCTGTTGCCCCTACTGATGTATGTTGTATCCCGAGCAAAGTAAGTGGAAGCTTTTAATTTCCCTGTCCCGTTGTTGTGTGATACCTCAGTCAGAGAAAGGACAGCCCTGTTTCCAGGCCAAATAGTTTAAATGAAAAATTAGGGTTGGTGTTTTAATGTGCTTTTTCCTGAGTTGTATTGGGGTTTCTGTGGGCTACTATCTGCCAGCTGTGGTGCGATGGTGTTGGCCATGATATCAAGTGGCTAGGGACTTCCTGAGTGTCCATCTCTTATCCAAGAGGATAATTCAGGGTTGTCATGGGAAATGTGGTCTTACCTGCATCTCAGATTGCCGTAGAAAATAGGAACATGAAGCCTTTGAAGACCAATTGTTGATGCCATCAGGCATCACCTGATCTGAAGATCGGATGTGAAGGCATCATCTATACATTGCACATCTTTTATTGTCCATTCTCAGTGGGGTACTGTGATTCAGTTTGGAGACTAGGAAGGTCTGAACACTGACCATCTAGTAATTAGACTTTTCCTGTGTAGGAATGTCTGTAAATGCAACACGTTTCTGCCAAAGAGGCTCTGTCTGTGCTGCTTTCACTGTAACTGCAGGAACCTGCTTGCATTCACTAGAATGAAACTGTATTTTTTCCTAGCAAATTTGAGTCAAAGTCCTTGACTGACCTCCTGGATATGCTTGGTCTCCAAAGAAAGGTGAAATGTTTAAACTTGGGGCCATAAAATCCAGAAGCTTTTCTTTTTTTCCCCTCTGTGCTGCTTTCACTGTAACTGCAGGAACCTGCTTGCATTCACTAGAATGAAACTGTATTTTTTCCTAGCAAATTTGAGTCGAAGTCCTTGGGGCCATGAAATCCAGAAGCTTTTCTTCTTTTTCCCCTCCTCTGCAGTCACGTTGGACAATACAGGTTTGTTTGCTAGGCAGCTTTCTTGACTGTAGATGAGCAAGGAGGAGAATAAGAAAGACTGTGAAAAACGGAGTTGAATTTTTCTTATGACTGAGCATTTTTGCCGAGATCCAGTCATGGCAGATACCTCAAGGACTCAGCCCCAGAAGATCAAGGTGACGCACAAGGAATCAGCAATGGACTTCCAGATCTGTGCCTCCTTCTCTCCATAATCTGATTTCAAACAGATGCCCGCAAACACCAGTGCCCACAGATTTGTTCTAGTTGTGACTTTTTTTTTTTTTTTCCCTTCCCCCTAGAATACAGCACCTGGGAGCTGAAATCCATCTGATCAGAGACTTGATGGACCCCACCAACCAAGGAGGACTCTATGACTTTCTGTTAACTGCCCTGGAGGTAAGGAAATGTTTTCAGCAGTGACAGTCGGGAGTTGCACTAGCCTTTCTTGAGCAGCAGAGATACTGATCTCTATACTGCTACATGCTCATTTAATTTTAGATGACTCTTTATATGCCCAGCACAGGAGGTTATTTTCCTTCTAGTTTAGTGAATATGCTTGCTGTTCTATTTATAATGTGCAGATTTAATCCTGCCTTTGGGAGCAGTATAGCTTCACTTTGTGTGCAAGAGACCAGATTTTGGCTCAAAGTTCCAAAACTTCTCCTTGATGGGTTGCTCTGTTCCTTGTCCAGTCATGCTACGAACACATACAGAGGATGAGACTCCACCAAAGAGAGAACTGCCACGCGACTCAGAGCTCCTGAGCCCGAAGACCCGAAGGGAGCCTCCTCCTTGCCGCACTTTTTAGACCAAACACTGTTGGATGAAGAAGCAATCATGTCGCTGCTGTGCTGGCTGCCTTTAGAAAGGGAAGAACGGTTATTTATCAGATGAGGGTTTCTTGCTGGGTTTTCTCTTAAGACTAGCTATGATCGGAAAGCACAGACGTGCAGATGCTGTGGGCTAAAATCCTTCAATACGCAACCTCAGCTTGTGTTTGGGAAACACTTTGTGGAAAGTGGCCAAGGTTTCTTTTGCCCTGTAGTTTTCCCTTTCCTGCAAATCGAAATCTGCCTTGAAACCTCATTTAACTGTTCCCTTAGATGCTGTGTTTGTTTTGCACTGGTGAACTGACATAAGGGAGAAGAGGTTATTTTATAGAAAGTGGTCAAATGAAACCACAAGAACTATTTTCGTGGGACTATTTCTGGTTGGTAAAAACATGGCATGGACAGGAGAGGCCATCTCCATGCTCCTGAACAACCTGTTCCTGGAGTGAGGTGGCTTTTGCTGTATTCCTAAGAGGAAGATTTTTTCCATTCCTTTTCCTACCTATGCCAAACTCAGTACCTCTCCGTTGCATTGTAAAGCTGCTATTGACTAATTTCCTTGTTTTATGATACTTACAAGTGTATATTTATACTCTGCAGACTCCTGTTAAATCTCAGGGATATCACACTTGCACATTGAACACGTTAGTGCTGCTTTGTAATTCTGCAGGGGTTCGTGCGTGCCTAACGGAAAGGACATATGTTGTCCTGGGGTGAGAAATCTTAAATCCTGGTGAGAGAAAACATAAAAACACCTGGCTTTCTGCACTGACAGAGCTGCAAAAACACTGGTTTTCCTAGGTGTACAGCTTTGTGCTAACAGACCCCCCACTGACGCCAGTGGGGTACAAATCAGATTAGAATTGGGCTGGGTTTTATGCTGCCTTTATAAAAGGCAAATGGATATCTGGTATCCTGTTCCTATCAGACAAAAATAGTAATGTCTGAGTTTCTTATTTAAAGCAAAAGATTTTTTGAACTAAATTTTAACCTGCCTTTTCTCTCTTTTTTTTTTTTTTTTTTTTTTTTTACAGTTTTACTTTAAATAGTCCAGGTCTGTGACTTTAGGAAAACAAAACAAAACAAAAGGCTGTTTCCTCCTGTTTATCACAAGTATTATGCTTTAATAAATAGTACACTGATTACAATAGTTAATATATTGGTATGAGAGTATCCTAATGTATGTTTTACAGTAACTTTGTATTGAAATAAAGCTGTTTAATTTTTAAGAGAGATTCCAGGCTTGCATCCTTCTTATCTGACCTTGTTGCTGTCTTCAGGCATTTGAGAATTTGCTTTCCTCTCTTTAACTTTAGAAAATATGTGGCTCCCTTACTGCCTTGATCATTCATGGGAATGGAGAATTTGAACTACAAATTAGTTTCCTAATGTAATTGCAAGGAGACTGAATCAATAAAACTAATTTTTGTGCTGTTGTTCCCTACTGAATCAGTAAGGAGAACATGGCTTAAACGTTAAGATCATTTCCTGCAATTAAACGACTATTTTTTACCCCGTTGTCTCACACTGATCACACTAAGCCTTAGCAGGCCTTATGAAGGAGCGCTGTTACATGTCTTTAGAGCTGAAGATGCTGTGGTGCAGACACAGCTCAGGTGAAGAGAAATTGAGTAGTTGAGACCCACCTTCCTTCACTTCAACACCTCTTTAGCCACCCTGCCATGCTGGCCTATCTTCTTCCTTCCTTAACTCTGTTCCACAGCGAAGAGAAACTAACTACAGAAACTATGCCTCTTCCCTGAAAGCTGCTGCCTGGATTTTTGCATCACAGCGAACTCATGCCATCCATCCAAATGAGGATGCAGTCTGCTGGAGAGTACAGCATCCAAACTGATCCTGGGTACATTGAGATACGAGGTTCTCAGTGTAAAAGCTAGGCTTGTGTTTTTGCTGGTTTCACACAGCAAAGCCAAGCAGTTCCAGCTTCATGGGACATGAAATGAAAAGCACTGTTCATCTAAGCAAACCTTTTGTAAAACTGCAGTGTTTAAAGTGGTCGGTGCCAATACCAGTTGCACAGCATGCAATGAGACTGAGAAATACAAGACCAAAAACATGCTTTCCTACCAATACACTGATTGTCAGCTTTAAACCTTTGTTCCTCAACTCTATGAAATCTCACCTTATTCATATAAGGAAGAAAGCTCCAGCTGCCTGTCTTTGAGAATGTAAACAACCACAAGTAACAGCTGTGAACTTTGAATTTCAGAGTTGCTTAAAACTGGCAGTTTTCCAGTCTAAAGAAACACCCTGCCAGAAAGTTGAATCACTGAGATGTAGTCACAGCCATTTAAAAAAAAAAAAAAATAAAAAAATCTGTTTTCTCCATACTGCATTCTTCCATGCTCTGGGTATTGATTTTAATTTCATGTACCACTTCCTACTCAAAATGCAGAACTTCTACTAGAAAATAGGACATGCAAAATCCATGCATGTACAAACTCCACAGGATTATATAGAAAACAATCTGACTTTTCAGTCTACTAAAGGTATCTACTATTGCACGTTCTAAATATGTGGTTATTAGTTGCTCTTACTGGTCATCTGGTTGAAAATTCACAAAGTTCTTGAGCAATAATTCAAGTGAGCCCTAGAGGAGCAACTAAAGTTAACAGTGTGCAGCCATTTGTGCTTCTAGGCTTTCTCACCAACCAGTAAAAGCAAGAGGGATACTTCACTGGAAATACTCTTTTAGCCCAAGGGTAGCATTCAGGTTGCAAATTGTGCTATGTAACCATGCAGTAGTGCTATTTGGTGTGTTAACAGCATGGCTTTTTTAGGAGATAGTATGAGGCTACTTGCTAGCTTCCCTGATTAATCAAATCTCTGCTTGATAAAATACCATGCCTTGAAACAGTGTGTAGGAATGTGAGAGTACATTCAAGTTCCTCCATTTGAGCTTGGGTGGCTCACATGCTTAAATTGTTAGTGGTAGATTTGCTATCAGGACTCCAGCTTCCTGATTATTCTGTTAAATTTAATCCTGCGGGCCCTGGAGCAGTATGAAGGCTGACCCTACCTGAGACTTCCAGCTTTAGAGAGATACCAGTTTCCAGGACACTAGTACAGTCAGCTCTTCCACGCCCAGGCTACAGCTGTTGAGCCATTGAGCTATCTCAGGCTTCAATGGAAGCTAACTAACTAGAGTCCCCTAAAAAAAAAAAAAAACAACCACAAACACCAAAAAAACAAAACAAAAAAAAAACAAAAGGAAAGCTGAGCTGCACCTGGAAACAGGACAGGTAATTTAGCTGTGACCAGGCAAAGCAGAGCTTAACTGCTGGAGTCTGCAGTGTAGGGTTGCTCTCTGTATGCAGTGCTCTCAGAAGGCGAGGGAATATGGTGCAGACTACTGCAGTCTCAATGTTTAGCCCTGACAGATCTAAGCTTGATCCACAGAGAACTTCTGTTCCCCTTCCCTGAATGCATACTGGCCAGCAGAACTCATAATATAACACTAATGTGATTTGCATTTTTCCTTTGATTTTTTTCCTGTTCAGTTACTCTAGATACTCAAATGCTGTCAACTTAAAAAGTATTCAGTCTTGTTATGAATGTACTCTCTCCCCACTCTATATTAAGGCTCTTTGTACTTAGACTGCAACGGCTATTAGGGAGGAGTCAGTCTTCTACAAACACCCATTTTGCAAAAGTTTCATTTTACAAAGAACTGAATAAATAGGAAGTTAGAGTAGTGCTGTATCTATTGCTGCTTTCAAGTGGTGGAGCAATGCCTCCGGAGGTGGAGAAAGTGACGTCAGGTCTAGTTTCTTGAAATCTTCATTAGCACTCAAAGATGTTAACACCTTCACAGTCCTCTTTAAATCAAACACTGCATGGAGCATGCCTAAGGTGGAAATGGCAGCTTTGGGAGTGTTCTTTGCTGAAGCTTCGTCATCGAGGCCGTTTTCCAAGACAGAAATCCTGTTCTCGGCAATGACTTTGAGGAAGTTGTAGAACTCCTTGTAGTCTATACCCGTGCAAGACTTCATGATCAACTAGGGGAAAAAAACCCAGCATTGAAATGGAAACAACTCTCTTTTATTTATAGTAAGAATTACAAAAACAGTTTATCAAGCTAGTAACTATCAGGAATCATAAGTAACCATGCTTAATTATATTTTTTGTAATTCCCCAATGGCACTAAAATTCTTTACCTTACTTGAAATTCCACTAGCCCCAAGCAACAGCCTGCTGCTTCTGAGTACTCAATGGCAGTGTTTTTTGAAACTATTTTTGAAGGACATCAAACTAACAGTAGTAACAGCCTCCAGAAATAAACTTCACATTTGTTTCATGCTTAAGGTTTTGCAAGCGTACAACACTGCTCAGTATAGTTATGTGTTCTGAAAGCATCACTTTGCAGACACAGAAACACACTGCCACCTTCACCTTAATTTTGCTTGTTTCAGATTTACTGTTTCATCATGAGTGGTCTTCAAACCAGTTCTTCTGTGTGGGGTCTGTCTTATTAGTTCTGTTCACATGAAAAAGCACTTAGATTTTATAAAGGGGAACATAAATACTACATAAAGGATTGATCTCTATGCTAATACTAACCTTGACAGTTGAAGAAGAGCATTTAGAGCATTAGTTTTTCAGACAACATCCTGATCATCTTGACACAGCAAATACGCACTGGCAAAAGCCTTTCCCTATCATCTCACTAAAGTAATATTTGATTTCCTGTAAAATGAAGTTGTCACCAATTCCTATTTCCTTATGAAACATGTACTAATTCCAGGTATGATGCTAAGGACTCTTGCATCTTACAACTCTGACAAGGTGGTGCAATGCATGCCTGAAATATATGATCCTCTAAGAGAGTCGGGCAACCAGCATCATGTTGTTATACCTGGCATTGTAGGTGCCAATCATCCATAGGGTCTTTCCACTCATTGATTTCCCGCTGGACAGCTGCTAATTCATCCTGTAGGAAGCACCACATTATAGCCACATTGCAGCCATTCACCCAGTTGTGGTTAATGGAAATGGTATCCTCCTGAAGGAATAATTGAAATGGTTATTAGGCCTTACATAGGGAAGTGTGAGAAAACAGTTGTAACATCACTGATGCTGCAAAATGTAAAATCTCATTCCTCAGCAAGCGAAATGCTTCTTTGGCACCAATACCATGGCTATTTCTTTGTAATGTCCCTGAACAACCAAATGTTGTTTCACTCTGTAAACTGGCAAATGTCTCTAGTTCTTCTGTCTGAGCATACCTTTTAAGAGCACAAAAGTGGCAGAAGGTGGTGGGGAAAAAAGAACAAGGTTGTTAATTTGGGTTTGTAACCATGGAGACCAATTTGTTAGCATTTTCCATTATTAAATTACAATTTACACTTAGAAATCAAGATTAACAGCCGCATCACAAGTCCATCTCACCTAGCATCCTATTTCTCAGTGACTAGTAGCATCTAATGACGAAAAGCATAATAAAAGAAGGTGCAGACAGCTTCTTCACAGAATCATAGAATTGTTTATGTTGGAAAGGACCTTTAAGTTCATTGAGTCCAACCGTAAACCTAGCATGGCCAAGTCCACCACTAAACCATGTTCTTAAGAACGACATCTACACATCTTTTAAATGCCTCCAGGGATGGTGACTCTACTACTTCCCTGGGCAGCCTTTTCCAGTGCTTGACAACCCTTTCGGTGAAGAAATTCTTTCTAGTGGTCAATGACCTGAGGAGCTTATGAGTTCAGGCTTGCTTTTAGCAATCATCTTGAGTGGCCACTGATAGACCTTTCCTCTGTGAATCTCTCCAAACTTTTTGCAGCCCAGTTAAACTTTTGGCATCCACAACATGCTGTGGCAATCAAAGTTTGATCTGATTCAAGCCTGCTACCTGATGATCTCTCTGTGTGATGAAAAGGATGGTATCTGTTATCTTACCAGATTGTAAACTTGATGATGCCATCCGCTAGGGATGAAGACTATCTCCCCTGCTTCCTGCACAATTTCAACAGGGGGTTGACTTTGGTTGTAGCGAGGGTAAACGCTCCTGTCCTGAAGACTAGGTGCAGTCACGTCGAAGGGCAAGTTGCCATGGCGGTCTTTCAGGTACTCCTCCTGTCCCGCAGGGTACAACAGCCATTTCTTTCTCCCACATATATTGGCTGACCAGCTATAGGAACGGAAGACATCAGCATGGAATGGAGTCCTGTGGGGCAAATCAGAGGTTTAAATAAAGACAACGTCTAAAAGCTGCAAAATGAATTAAAGTCTCTGAGAATCAGACATATACACAGAAATCAACCTTTACTATGCAAACTTGATCCCAGACTGTCATCCTCTTCACTTAATTTTGATTCTTTTATGTATTAAAAGGCCACCATATCTACATAGTATTGCAGTGTTTTATATCCTCTGTGCTTCTCCATCAGTTAGCTTTGAATCTGTCACAAATACCTCAATGGCAGGAGATTCTATGATGTGAATGAGAATACTGTAAATGCAACTTTATCACCAATGATGGACTTAAATTTTCACCTGCAAAATATTTGTCCAACTCATCAGCACCTCTCAAGGCTTCCGTTGACTTTGCAAATCACAAGTGCCTGATGACCCCCAGGGAGTTGCCGCTTTAAAACCTTATACAAGCTAGCTAACAATTTTTGCAGATTTTGTGTGGACAATTCAGAGCTTTTTGAAGCACAAAAGCACTTTAGCTGACTGCATAAGGACAGCTCACATCCAGAACCAAATCAGCTCCCTGAGAAACAAAACTCGCTGGGTTCAGGTCCAACATTACACAGTACAGCCACACTGCCTCTGCAGCATGATGCTGTCCTGAAGGACAATGTGATAATCCCCCGTAATATTAATCTTAAATAAAGAGTATGTAAGAATGACAGAAACCACACTGTCTTACCATGAACCTTTAGGTCCCATGTAGACAAACCGGTAATCATCCACAGCTATAGCATCCCAGTATTCATTCAGCCAGTCAGATGAGAAATACACAGGGGTTGTATAAACATCTTGCTCGGGGAAAGCTCTTAAAAAGATAACGTGTTGGAAACAAGTTTCAGAAAAATGCAACATTGCTCCTTCTACTTCAGTTTCCAAAACCCAGATACAAAGATCGATCAGGTCTCTAGCAGGCCATTAATACTTAGCTGCCATCTCCTTTGTACCATTGACAACTCTCAGCTGTATGTAAAATGCACGCAACACTGCTTTTCTGTCTCCTAGGAAAGCTGTGAAGGTTAATTGCTATTTGGGAGACTCCTTCTAATTATGTTAAAGACAGTTCCTAATAAACACATTCTCTTTAGATGAGATACCTGCAAGACTGGTTGTCCAACTGGATGACAGGCTGGGGGTGTGCAGGTTAGGAGAGAAGCCAGGCTGTGGGATTTTGACAAGTCCATGGCCTTCTCCTACAGGATATGCTGCCCCTTTCCCATCCTATGCTGAATGTGCAGACTTTCTATCGCAAGCCACAGCATCGGTGTCTGCGAAAGCAGACAAACAGGGAGGCAGACTGACAAATTTCCTCTATTGTAAGTCACTGGCACACTCAAAAATGAAAACAAGAGCTGACCACAAGGAAGTTGGATTAAGAGCAGGATGTGTTTAAGGAAGAAGAGATTTGAGTGAAAAGACACAGAAATCCTACACAGACATGGGGAATGAACAATGCATCCACCTTGCAAGCAGCAGACTGGAGGGGAAGTTAAGCCAGAACAGGGTGAAGAGAACTTTAACGATTGGGAAGGTTAACAGAAACCAAAATACATAATAAAGGACTATAAATCACACATGCTCACTGCATTAAACATAATTAGGAATCTCCCCTTTCTTTTTAAGAAGTAAGGTTTCCACTGTAGCAGTCAAACAAAAGCCAAATGTTCCAGCCACATAGTTTCCACAGGGATAACATACAGTCATTTAAAACACAGAGGAAAGCGCTCAACAACGTCAGCTTCTTCAGGAAACAATGACCTGTTTAAAGACCATACTATAAATCACACATGCTCACTGCATTAAACATAATTAGGAATCTCCCCTTTCTTTTTAAGAAGTAAGGTTTCCACTGTAGCAGTCAAACAAAAGCCAAATGTTCCAGCCACATAGTTTCCACACATAAAACACAGAGGAAAGCGCTCAACAATGTCAGCTTCTTCAGGAAACAATGACCTGTTTAAAGACCATGTCCTGTGAAGTACCACAAGAAGAGTGCAGTATAAGATTGGTATTTTGGCAGGCAAACGCTAACAAACACTATTGGTGGCATTTAAACACTTGGGCATTAGAAGATAAGCTCCGCAGCAGCTCTCTGCTGTGCATGGCATGTAGCGGTTTCCACAGTGCTCTCTTACCTGCTCAGGTGCCAGTCCTTTAGATAAAGGCACCCTCGGGATGAACGGTAGTCATTTTTAATGTACTCTTTCCAGTACTTTATATACTCCTTGAAGGGGAGCTGCTCCTTTGGGTTAGAATTGTACTCCTTGACATCACAGTTGGCAACAGGTACTACAGCCTCTCCTGAAATACAAACTCTTTGAGCTCAGGAGGGGACAGAATAATCGATGCTGTAACTGAACTCCCTTAACCTTAATCACTGCAGCAGCCTCTAACATTTGGGCCCCATAATGCTAAGTAGGTACAAACATATAAAGCAACAATCCCTAGCCCAGCTCCCACTCCCAACACCATCATTCTAGGCAAACATTATTCAGACCAGAAGTTATTTACTTAATGTGACCTGAATTTTCCTCTTAAACTACATTAGGATGGGGTATTGATTTCTATTAAATACACTAGTATTTTACAGCCTGAAGAGATATTTCACTGTAACTACAGAATACTTTCCCCTTGTCTGGCAAAAGTGTCGGGCTGCTCCTCTGGTTAACGTTAAGCAGGCATATAAATTGGTATGGTTAAATTATACAACACTTCTTATTTTTTTTTTTTCATTGTGGGAATAAATTCAAGATCGGAATCTGTGAAACATAAAGTATGAGTAAGTATAGAAAATGAATGTATTAACTTAGAAAAATGCCTGGAGAATTGCTTGGTTTTGTCTAGCAGTTCTATTTCTAAGATTAAAAAAAAAGCTGTGTCATTTAGCCTACATGTTTTAATTAGGTATTAAAAATGCCATGACTTACCAAACTTCTGCAGCAAATGATCAAAGTTAGGCTTTCCATCCCAAGTAACCCAATTTCTCCTGCTGCCCCAGTCTTCCGTGAATTTAGCTGAGAAAATACAGGGATGGTTGGGAATCAAATAATCCCGGAAAAAGTCTGAATAAGTGAACGATTCTACTTTTTCAATAAAGTCAACGTGTCCTCCGGGGAGGCAGAACGCACCCTGAGATGAACTGCTGTAGTCACGAAAAAAGGCAGTGGAACAGGCGAATGTTGCCCTGTCCATGCAGGCTGGATACCCTTCCTGGCTTAGCCAAGACAGCGTTGAACAGATCTTATCCTGTTACGCTACAGTAAAAAAAAACTGCTTTAAAATGTGACTTGAGTCTCTAAATCCATGAAAACTCACAGAAAAATATAAATGGCCAGAGGTAAAACAAGAAATCGTGCAGGAGCATCCCACCACGTTGGGCTAATTAGGATCTTCCATAGTTCATAAAGTTTAATGCTGGTGGGATATCTGACAAGAGTCACCCTATGGATGGTGAAGATGTTGCTTTTTGCTCGTCACCTTCTTTGTCAGGGTAACCACGCTCTCTGGGGTCGACCAGCAAAGGCTAGTTCCTTCCTAAAACACAGAAACATTAATGTCAGTGGGATGTCCCTACTAAATTAATTAATTGCAGGGGTGGCGGGAAGGAAACCCCCTAAATACCTGGGGCCCTGAGAAACCACTGCAGCCCAGTGACTGTACTGGAGCTCACCCCTCTGTCAGGAGAAGATATAAGCTCTGGCAACCCGCCCCCTCCCCAGACGTTTATCTATGCGCCAGGCAATAATTATAGATTTAAAAAAAAAAAAAAAAAGGTGAATAAAAGGGAGGTGTCTGGAGAAGGTGGGGTGGGGGAGGGAAACACTGAGTATCGAGGGAAAGGGAGGAGGCCTGAGGGCAAATGAGGCTACATATCCTTCGGGGATGGGCATCAGGGAGGGGGAGACAGCGGGGGTGAAAAGGAGATCAAG